GCCAGCGAGAAACTCAGCAAAACGAGACACCTTGGACGCCTGGCACCACTTTCGCCGTCACTGATCGATCGGATCCGTGACCTCGGCCATATCCCCGCACTCGATGCCAACCCCTGAGTCCAACCCGTTGTCCCCCGCACTCTCGTCCGCCGGGGTGCACTGGAACAGCGGTGCAGCGAGGTCAGACAAGCCGATATGATCGACGCGTCCCGTGTTCGGATTGGCGAGCCCCTGGGCGAGGACAGGGAAGCTGGCATATGGCGTGTAGAGCGCTTGGAAGACGACCGAGCGCAGAGCGAGTAGTCGACCAGACCGTACCCAGCCGTGTGACCGCAGGGACGGGCTTGGCTCGGACCGCGTTCGTCAGCTTCTCTAGGCGGGCACTGATGGTCTCGGGTGTGGACTTGTAAAAGGCGCAGACTTCGGGACCGGCTGAGACGCAGCTCGTGAAGAAAAACTGCAGGGCTTGTCCGTGTCTGTTGCGGCGATAGTGAGGTTGGCTGGACAGGGTGTGAGTCGGGGAGGCAAACATGAAGTCGATGGCTACCATGATACCACGCTTCAGCATCGACAACACCGTCAATGATCATGCGATTGATCTTGTTCTGTGTCAGTGGTGAGCATCGTCAGATGGAGGAATATCGAGAAACCTTACAGGAAACATAGCAGCAAAGGTGCACCGAGAACCGTCCCGTACCTGGTAAGCGTTGTCAAATAGGGTAATAACATAGAAACTCCGACTCACGAGCCCGTAGTACTCGCTTCTCGTATCCCGCTTTCTGCGAGATGTACAGCATGTCCCTCGCCACGTTGTCCGTCGTGATGTACTTGAAGATCCCCGTCGTGTCGCGCTGGCCCGCAAGCTGCCCGAAAATTTGCGCCGCTCCCCACTTGCTTTTGACAGCCTCGGAGGACGAATTAAGCGATGGTGGGAACGACCCAGCATTCCACTGCGCGCGCCTCCGATGCGCTGAAAAAAGTCGCAGAGGGAGTCGAGAATCCAACCCTGAGCAGTTTCAGTCGCAAAGCTCGATGAAGGATGTGCCCAAAAAGGCACGCACCGCGAGGATCGAATCCATAGAAATCATACTCTCCCCCAATCAGAGCGCGGAAACTAGGTCCGCGACGGTCCGCACCGCGTCCACACCACCGCTTCCTGGTCCGCCTGGGTTGAACAAGATTGGGCCGCGGTAGTCTTTCGAAGACGTGTCAACGGTCGCCGGAAGTCGCAGAATGGCGATCCCCGCGTGCCGGCGCCAGGGTTCGAGTGGTCGAACGGAACTTGCAGGCGGGTGCACTGGAAGATGGAGCCGTAGCAGTCGACCCAGGTGAGATTCGGGGTAGCTTGAAGCTTCGAGAGGACGTCAGTGAGACTCGCTGGACCTCTGCGACAACACGAACTGCGCTCCAGTCGAAAGTGGTAGAGTTGTCGCTTTGCGCGCAAATCGCAGGCAGGAAAGCCGCTGCGAGGGACAGACAAAAGGTAAGCAGAGGAAGGCCATTCGGTTTATGGGTCTTCTGCTGAGGATTCGCTGTCTTTATATGTGAATGGCACCCCCAAACCGATCTGGGCTTACTCATTTGGTGGCGCAAGATCGTCTGTATGCGCAGGCAGTCAAGCTTTTGAGACATGGGTCGGAGATGATCAAATAACTTGGCTCTTCTTTGCAGCCTGATCATGAGCCTGGCTGAGTTGACACCGTGTCTTCAAAACTCTGCGGTGATTTTCAAGCCTGGATAGAAATGAGCCCACAAGGGCTCCTCCCAGGCAACAGACGTGAAGAAACCAAAGGTTGATGAGCCGCGCTTAACGATGTCTTGGGCATCTACCCGGACTCCTGAAGCGTCTCTGATCCATACAGCCGTGAGTGACGGCACTGACGGCGCAGTTCCGCAGCCCCGTCCGTCCGAATGCCATCGGCGCAGGCGGAGGAATTTGTCCCCGGTGATCGATGTGTTTGCAGTGGGATTCGGCTACGGGAGATGTATCCGCGAAGAAGTAGGCAGGCGTGGAGAATGAGGTAAGTACCAGGGATGATTAAGCACGTGGGTAAACATATTCACGTGACTGATTTGACAGATCTCCCAGGTCTGGAAACATTATTGGTGGTGGTTCCGTCCCTCATATTGAAAGACTGAGGTTGGGACATCGAGTCTTTCCCTCGAGCGAACCTCGTCAGCTAAATTTTCTCCCCGTGTTTTGGTTGCGCGGGCTCGACAGGTATTATGGATCCGTGCTGTACAGCGATATGCGATGAGATGAGTATCAGCATTTACCTTCACATGCCCTTCCTCTCATCCATCACCATCTTTGTGCAGTTTTTAGCTTGATATTCAGGCACTTCCGACCATGAGAATTCCTCTCTCGGCTCAGGTACCGGCATGGGCCCAGCTTCGCCGTCCAATCGCCGACCGTCTGTCAACAAAACTTGAAACACTTGGGCCGAATCTTCTCTTGACGGCCTTCCCCTTCCCCTTCTCCTCCTTTGCAGTCCACTCGCTGAACAGATGACGATTGATCTCTCGCACACCGTGAACCCCGACCAGGCCACTTCCCTCGGGTTTGGACTCGAGGGGATCTTCTACGGTGAGCCAAGTCCCATGGCTTACGACCAGACTAGAACGGTTCTCAGGGATTCATATCGTGTTCTTCAGCGCTGCTGTAGTCCTCTTTGTGTCCCGTCAGACGCTCAAGCAGCCTACCGCACGTCCGATCCTCGTCGCAACGCTGCTCCTTTTTGCGTTGTGCACGCTGCACTTCGCGCTGAACTTTCAGAACGTCTATGTCTCGACGGTGAGCACGTCGTGGGATTCTCGTGCAGGCTGACTAGACAGTGCTCGCAGATGGTCAAAGTACGCCCGCATATATCGGCTGAGACGCCACGGCTAGTGGGTTAGTCTCATAGCCTATCTTCTTCGCACCAGACGAGCTTTCAATTGCTTTTTAGCGGCGGATACTTCGTTCATTCTGGCTGATTTCATTGGGCAATTGGTTTTGGTCAGTCTGACGAGAAGCATACATCTGACAGCCTGACACCGTCCAAGATCTACCGTTGCTACCTCATCTGGGCTTGTAATGGCCTGATCATCTTGCTGCCGACCCTTTTGCCCTGGCTTCCGTCTGTTAGTCTTTCAATTCAGCCGTCCGCATCTTTCATCCACTGAACTCGCTTACCCAGCATGCGGAATGGCCGTCACCGGAATCGTCCAGCGAATCAGCCCGACAGCGAACAAGTTCCCGCATCCCTCGTGCCCATGGGCGACGCCACCTTCTCGCTCTCGATCATCTGTAACTTCATCACCACCGGGCTCATCGTCGCACGCCTCTGGTGGGTGTCCCGCCGCACGGAGGGTGACACGAGTCGGAATCTGTCGCCGTCCCAGCGCGCCACCGCGATCTTCGTCGAGTCGGGACTGCTGTTCTTCGTGACGCAGTTTGTGTTCATCGTCCTCTTCGCGATTGCGCATCCGGCACAGCGATCGTCGAGCCCATCGCCATTCAAATCTACGTGCGTATACTTTTGCGAACCCAACTCTTGGAGGATCGACTGGCTGATGTTGCTTTCTGGACACAGGCTATCTCGCCCCTGCTCATTCTGATCCGCATTGCGTTGGGAAAATCTTATGAGAACGCGGCTTTGGATTCGCAACAGCCGCAAGCCCTGATGCTACATCTGGCTCGAAAGCTCCGTTTTCGTATCAGCTTGGCCCGTATTCATCGGATCCGTCCGTGTGATGTAGTTGTATTTGCGTTAGCACTAATGAAAACAGTCATATGTTATTGGAATATTTCTATTATTTAATCCGAGGGCTGATCTTAGTGTGCGCGGAGCCTGTAGGACAGGTCAGCTACTGTAGATCAAAATCATCCTCGTGTGGTGCAGCGCAGACAGCTATTCACAGTGGGCGTATGAGCCTCGACGTATTCATTCCGCGAATCGTTCATTAGCACGTTCACGCATGTGCAACAAGTTCTTGCACTGAGAGACGGCATGTTGACGGATCAGATGGAAAATCGGCACGTCCGCAGAGAAGGTGATGGCAGATGATCGCATCAACCGCCACTCTCGCATTTCTCTCCTCGTCCCATCGCGATGCCCTTGCAGCTCGTGCACCAGCAAGTCTCTATTCGATCTTCTCCCTGTTCTCGATTCTTTCCCGGGAAACGGGAACAGCCGGAAACAAACTCGGGGCCCTTACCACATGGTGGGCGCGGCAGACGCATTTGTTGTCAGGGCAGGATTCGGTGCGTTGCCGTCCCCCATGTTGGGCGTGGGTGGACTTCAGTTTACTGCAGACGTTTTTTCATCCAGCTGCTTTGACTATTATGCTCGTACTTATTCTACAGTTACACGGATACGCAGTACATCGTCCAATTCACCCCGTTCTCTCCTCCCTCACTCGCTAGTTTTCCACTGACATCGTTCGCACGCCTCGCCTCGCCTCGCAACTACGCTTCCTTGTGCACCCAGACGTTATTCGCTATCTCTTCCCCGTGCCCCGACCCGGATGAGGCACGCGTGCAAAGATGCAACACCGACACAACGCGTTGCTGCACGCGTCCACGCCCGTCAGCTTGCGACCATCCAACGACAACACAGACGTACCCATAATCCCTGTCGCAGCGGCACAGATTCCTGGCCCGACTCGACGCGCAAGCGGATGCAGATCGCGCCGGTGCCGGCGTGTTGGCTGTCTGCGTCGTCAGGCTCGCTCGCCACGCTGAGTCTGTGTCGTGGTAGGAGCTGCGCGCGTACAGATCTTGGGACTGGGACGCGCGTGTATCAGCCATTCGGATCCTAGAACGAAGCAGCAGACACTCGCCTCGATATGGGAGATGGGCGAATGGATCTCGTCGCGCGTCGTGCGCGAGTAGTCCGTCTTGGCGAACGAGTTGCGGATCCGTGTCTTTGGGAGGGGCTGGTCCCTCTCTTCGGAGATGCCTGCGCTGCGAGAGGGCGAAAGGCGTCCGAGCTTGCGAGCGGAGCGCCTCGTCTTGAACGAGGACAAGTCAGGCATGGGCGCAGTACAAAAAGCGAGGGGAAGGGCTGCAACGACGCGTATTGTTTCGTGGGTTACGAGACTTTCGGTTTGTTAATTCGATGCGGCTTTTACGTCGATGTTCATCGGAGCCGCTGACAATCGAATCAGACGCGGTGTGGGATAGATCGAGTGTTCTCCGTCTGACGAGTGGAGATCGGTGGCTCGTGTGATTTCTTCTTTTCCTCTTCGGAAGTCTTGCGTCTATAACTGGCACTCAGGGGTCGAGTCAGACGCGCGAGCAGTCGAAGCAGCCATTGGCGACAACGTGGTGTTCGATCGAACCGTGGGTGTGAGAATAATCATGCTGCGGGCATTCATGACTCAACTCCGTATTCCAACATCAGCAATCGAGTTACTTGTCTTAGTTTTCCGGTTTCGACTCATAGGCAACGAATGAAACTTCTCTTGTCGAAGCACTGAGCAGCTCAAGAACATGAAAACGCAGCCGTGGATGATACCCGCGCCCCAGCAAAAGAAGCTCAAACTTTATTCGACTTGTTCACGAATCAATCGCATAAAGGAGATAGGCTCGTATCGAATGGCGCTTCCCGGGTGGACCCCTGCTCTAATTTGCTTGTTTGAAAACGTCGGGTCTCCATCATTCGGAGCAGGCCGAAGGCCAGCCTCAACACGTTGGCTACTGGAGCAACAGCGGAGAATGTTATACTTCGTTTGCTCCGCAGCGATATGTTGGAGTTGCTTAGCTCAAGATCGTCCTAGCACCGGCAGTTCCCTTGTGAATGGTCATCCAGGTGACGAGAGTCCCCATGTGATCCAGCGTCGGACATTCGGGCCGATCAGCGGAGACGTCGGTGAGCATCCATAGGCATTCACCCAAATACCGCTGGGATTCCCGCATCACTCATTCGGATCGTGTAAGCAGTGGGTCTAGAATGAACGGTTTGGGTGTCTGAGGGCGAAATACGATGTCGAGGGCTTGTAAGGACTTCTTGTGAGGACTTCAGAGACGAAGGGGGACGTCCAAACCTACCTCAAGACAAATCAGAGTGAACGACGTGGTTCAATATATCATGCAGAAGAAAGATCCGATTTGCTTTGAGTCCCATGCATACAGGATTAATGAGGGATAACCACGCGGGAACACCCAAAGCCGGACAAAACTGAGTGAGAGGGAGTCCAGCCGTCAGTGGAGACCCGGGAAGATCGTCGGGATATATAGTATCCTGAAGCCAGTCGCCAGCCAGTTATCGCGGCCGGGGGATCAACGTTTCCCGTCGATCCAGTGGGTGTCGGAGACGCAGAGGAAGGGTTACTTGAAGCAGCTGCACCCGCAGTCCACATCCTAACATCCACGTCTATTCGCATGAGCATTCTGATTCGTGTATCGTTGTACTGCGCATAGAAATTAGGACGAGCGCGTCAATATTATGTATCGGTGGTGGTAGAGCACAGGGGCCAGGTTTGCAGATGTCCTTGGACGCTGCGTCATTTTGTGGACGACAGAAACAGTGGCAAAGCGAGAATGAGGGTGAAGCTCAGATGTACGAGTGTTTGCCGCCCGTGGCACTGGACGCACA